GCAAACCCGGTGTTTCCAAAGATGAATCAGTACAAGGAGGGAGGAGTAAAAGTTCAATCTGTGGCGTTACGCAGGCAGAATAGCACCAATCCTGCGCCTCTGCAGCTGCAGAGAGTAAACCTGGAAAATGCCAGGGTGGACGGATCTTTATTAGATGACAGAAGGCATAAGATGGACAACTTTAGTTCAGCTCTGGCAGCTTGTTTAGAGAGACCAGCAGAGACGCAGAGGTCAGTGGGCTGGGGTGATATGGAACAACAAGAACACAGTGAATGTGTCCACAGAGGTGGCGTGATGTTGGAGGGCCACCGACACCACTCACCTCTGTCAGGTGTGAAGGCCAGCATTATTAATGAACTGAGTTCCAAGCTGCAGCAGATGAGTGGCATGAAGAGCATGGATGAATGGAGCCACCCGTCAAAGTCACCAATGATGCACAGGTTGGTAGTGGTTTTACAATGGTAACGATTCCTGTCCGATAGAATTTGCAAGATTTTGAAATTGTTTTGTGCGTGTTTTTCAGATATTCAGCAGACTTCACTGATATTTATCACAGCCCTCCTTCTGTCCGCTCCACCTCTCCACTACCACCTACTTCACCACAGCACCGTCAAATCCTCACACCTAATCTGTCTGCCACACCATCTGTCTCGCCTTCGCCTCAAATCCCAGTTCAGCACAACTGGACCCGATCTCCATCCCCACAGATGCCTTCCTCTCCCGTTCATTCTCACAGTCCCCGTTCACCAACCTTTTGTCCATACCCAACATCCCCAAAGCATCGCTCCAAGTTCCGCAAGCAGACATTTGATTTCCAGTGCAGTCCCACTAAGGACATACCATCTGCAGTGTCCCGGCGCCGTGCTCCGAGTCCTCTCATATATAGCACAGAACAACCAAACCCGGCGCCTCCTCGACCCTCCTCACTTCCCATACTCCCCAGCACACCCGTGTATAGTAACCCTTTCGACTTTCCCGGGCACCTCACTCCACCGTCTCCTGCTCTTCCTCTGGGGGACGTATACAAAACCTCCACACCTCCACTATTCTCTCCCTCCGGTGTCCCAGGTCCAAACCCCATACTCGTCTCCCGCTCCCTCTCTCCCACTACTTTCCTCTCTGGAGCCACTTCTCCCATGCACTTACCTCCTAGTCCCACTTGTCTGAACTATCCCCAGCTGACCCCTCCCCCACCAGCTAAACCCTTTGCTGTCAAGCCGCTGCCCTACTGGACCAAGTACGACGTGGCAGACTGGCTGGCTTATCTGAATTTAGGCGAACACCGAGAGCGTTTTATAGACAACGAGATCGATGGATCCCACCTGCCTTCACTCACCAAGGACGACTTCTTAGATCTGGGAGTGACACGTGTGGGACACAGAATGAACATCGAGAGGGCGCTGAAGAAGCTCACTGACAGGTGAGGGAGAACTGATGAGACTCTGATAAGGCTGATAGAAACACTTAGAGACTGTTGGATTACAATGTCAAGAAAGGAGTTGAAGAAAAGTCCAAGTATAAGTTAGTCCTTTTGTTCCCTATTTCATTTAAGTACTTATTATTTCACACATTTATTCATCCACTTTTTAATCTTTTACCCTCTAAATCTTCTTTTCAGTTTCTTCTTATCAACTCTACTTTATTCCTTCAGTTCTTGTCATCCTTAGACTTTGATTTGCCCTCCTTCTCTTCCCAGGGTGATCTGCTCTCCTTTACTTGTCACTGCTTCTCCCCGAAACACAGACTGAGAGGGTGAAAGGCTTGATTGAGAAATGAGAAAAAAACTGTGAGAAACAAAATAAGAAAAAATGAACAATAACAGAAGATGTGTGTGTGTTTGTTGGGGAGGGGGGGTGTCAAATGGACATCGACAGGTTAAGTTGAATCGAGACAAACGGCAAAATGTTGTAGTAGAGATTTACTTCACACGTGGAGAATGTGGTCGTAGATGTATGTAAATGAAATGTATGAAACTATATCTGGTTGTTTAGGGTTTAAAAGAGATATGTGTAAAAAAACACAGAAAATAATCTTGAACTTTGTTGAACAGGCATTTATTTACATCACTGTTTTCAGCTCTAATGGACAAACACTTGACTGATGGATTCTCAGACCATGTGCCGTAGATCGGCTCTGAAAACACTTGTAATCTAGAGGAAAAATCGTATTTAAAATGTTGCTGATTGTGGCCCAGTCGTGTGGGAACACTGGAGCCACGTCACTACATCAGTTTTGTAGCTTCAAGTAGATGAGATTTTCTGATGGCTGTGAGTGAAGGAGCCAGAATCAGATTGTTGAGAGAAAAGGCTTTTGTATGTAAATGACGATGGAGGAATATAATGATGAAAAATAGATTTCTTTTATATACATATACATATATATAAATATATATTTGCCATATTTCCCTCAATGGACCCCGCTCCCTGCCCCCCGCCACACTAAGCTCTGTATGTGTGTATTTTGCGAGAACTAAATATATCGTACATGTTTAATGGGATTCTCTATGAGTAAAATCATTTGTTTTGTACTCAGTGCTGATCACAATCATTCATGTCAATCTGGTCAGGGTATTTAACATTGTTGAATGGATGGTAATGTCAACTGGGGCACACAGACGTGATGACATTTGAGTCATTAGAGATGACTGATAATTGGTGATTTATGGCATCACATCACAGGTGGAGGAGCGCGTCCCTTCTCTCTGACGCCATAATGTTTCAGCGCTCTCTCTCTCACAAGCAGGTGCGGTGATCAAACAAGGGCTTTTTAGGGCGCCTCTGTCTGCCTGACATCCTCAGCCTTCAGCGTCCTTAAGCCTGTGTGTCTGATTGTATGTGCATGCGTGTGTGTGGGTGTGCGTTCATCAGTTCAAATGCTTACCCTTGGCACCAGGCGTTTTATTTCTAATGACTTTATCAAATCGTGTTTATAGCATTCAGAGAAATGTCACCTCTCACCAGGTGGAAACTATGAGGGGCAGAAAATGACTCCGTTTACATGTATTTATTTCTACATTTCCAATAGTACTCTGTGTGTTTTTTACGTGTTTAAATACAAAAGTATCGTGGTTTGGGTCAAATACAGCTTTTTGCTTATTCCAACCCAAAGCCCAAATTATTTAAATGCCACTATTGACAACATGTTTTCATGTAACTTGTCTAAACCACCTCATACCTGTCCTCGTATTCTTGAAAAATTACAATTTACATTACATTTATTATATATATCTAAGCACCTAAGTTAATCTGGTCTTGTTTATGTATACAGTAGAAAGATAGTAGTAGAAAGTTGCAGATATAAACATTTATTCATAAATGTTTGTCAATTTTCTGACCCTCATAGACAACCACAGAGTTGTACAGAAGTCAGATCCCAAAACAGAGGAGTTGTTTTTCAGCTTCACCTGTCACTGTACACTCAGATGAACATGAACTTCTTTGGATTTATTTACATGCCTTTATTTAACATGCCATTTTAGCCACGCCCACAAAGAACTAAACCCATCTTTATAGATCTATATGTAACAATGACAATGATAACAGAGAAATATAGTATAATAAAGATAATATTAAGTATGTAATTTGTTTTTTTAAGAATCTCTGTCTTCCAGATAGTGTGGACAATTTCTCTTTTTTTTTTTTTTTTTGGTTTTTGTTTGTTTTTTTTTTCCCTTTTCCTTTCCTGTAAATGCTTTCTATACTGCTCGCCCTGTGACAACCTCGGTCTAACTGAGACGTTTTAGTCGATGTACTGTACATTATCTTTCTCTGCAAATTCTGTTCTGGATACTTTTTTATAACCAGTGCTATTCCTTAGAAGTGAAAGAAACAAGCGGTAGTGTAGAAAGCATCGCAAAATATGAGTCAAGAGTATTTTATGTCTCGCGAAATGCATAACAAATATGACTATATGACTACAGAGGTTTAAAACAAGGTTTTATTCATACAGTATTGAATACTGTATATAATTTGTTTGAACTAAAACAGTGTATACTGATAAACATAATGATAGAGGTTAAACTAAGGTGTTGAAATAAATTGTAAAATAAACGCTGGCCCTGCTGTGGTTCTCCTTTCTCCTCTGGACCTTCCTCCCCTCAGAGATTCACGTCCAGTTGTCGTCTGAAGTTCTGCCTTGGAACACGTGGTTTGGCAGCGCTTCAGTTCCAACATTGTGTTTTTAAGCATTTTTGACTTAATTGTCGCTAAGTCCGAGTCCTAATTTAGTCAATAGAACTGTTTCAATTTTAGTCCAGTGTTACGTCACAAATTATTCCAGAGGAACAGAAATGTTAGTATTATTAGTATTATATAGTATGTATTATATAGTAGTACATAGTATGTTTTCAGAATGGGTTAGTCTTTGGTTCAACTCTACGTGAGTTCTACTTATAAACCTGATGCTGGAGCTTATTCTTCTTTCACAGTGTAACAAAATGACGACACATGTTTGAATTTTGGGATGATTTCTGTATTAACAGGTTGTTTTTATAGGTTTTTATGGGATGATTTCTGTATTAACAGGTTGTTTTTATAGGTCACGTGATCTTGACTCAGATGATTTTTGATGGAAACCCCTGGTAGAAGCTACAACCATTTAAATGGGAGATAAAATAGAAGATCTTTGTCAGGAGTTGGACTCCAAGTACCATAACATCTTCACTGCTCCTTGGCATAGTTACAAGTCTGTGCAACTTCACACTGCTCTCCCAAAAGCCTTTGCCTCAGTGGTGTTGAGCTGAGAGTACACACTTACTCACTTCCTTGTCAAAATATATTGTATTCGGGCTGAAAGTTTTATTAATGTTTTTTCAGTCCTTCACTCAGATATTTTTTTCTGATTTCTGTTTCTGTAAAATTGTAATACTTGGCGTTAATTCTCTCCAGCTTCGGAATATCTTTTTCAGGAAATAGGTTCGTACCATGGACATACTTCATAGAGAACTGGAGCAGTACCAGATGAAATCCACCATCGACGGAGGATTCTCTGCAGTTTGTTGTTGTACTGTAGGTGACAGCAGCCCTCGGGTTTTCTGCTGGGATACAAGTGGCTCCGGTGTAGAAACTGGAGAATGAAGTAGAACACATCATCCAGACTGGACCATTTGGCTTCTTTGGCTTAAGACATGATGGGCGCAGACCTGGCCACAACATCATTCTTCATGTGTCGCCACGAGGCCTTTCTTCACCTGCTGTACAACCAAGTGAACGCTGGTTCTCTCCAAATTAAACATGGGTGTGAATGTGAGTGTAAATGGTTGTTGGTTTCTGTATGTGACCCAGTGTTACAGGGTGTAACACTGTCTTCATCACATCAGATGGGATTGGCACCAACACCCCTTGACGTTCCTGTGACTCCAAAATGGATCCTTCATCCTTTGGTTCTTGGACCTGATCCACCCAAAGACGCATAATGTGAGTATAGGGAATAACATGACTCTTGTTTTGGAGCAGTTTGAATCCTAAATATATAGAACAAAGTACTTCACCTCTGACAGCTCAACTAGTTTTCCTGCAGTTACTTCTAAACTGCAGCAGATACTGCAGTAAACAGAGCATGACACTGTATGACACTGGTGTTTTACTCCTGGCCAATTTCCAGCAGCACAGAGAAGAAAATGTCGACACTTTGTGTATGTGTGTGAACAATGTGTGTTTAATGTACTCTAAGTGTTTGACAGGCGTCTGTTCTAGGACTGAGCAGGGAGTGGGAGAACATCAGGGTCACGGAACACGCCGGGACTCCAACCTCCTTTACTGTCACACACACTCACTAATAAGATCACATGACCCTGTGGCACACTGACATGAAACTGTGACCAGTGTTGGGTCAAAATGAAGCTCCAGCATCTCATTAGCACCATATTTAGAAGGACAGAAGGAGGGACGGGCAGAGGAGGAGGGGGATTCCTCCAGCTGTTATTTTTTCTAATAGTACAGTGGCAAAAAAAGGGAAAGTGCGATAGTCAATAGGAGGCTGAAAGTTTAGGAGCTAAGCATGGGTTGTAGTGAGGGAAGAGACTAAAAGAGGAAGGAGAGATAAACTGGAATGAGTGTGGTCTAGAAGAATAGACTTGACAGGGGAGCCGAGTCAGAAAGGTGAGTTTTCTCCTTCTTTTTTTTGTGCCCCAAAGTAAATTAAGCAGAAAAGTGATGACCATCAAAAATGTTCTTTTTTTGCCTGTCTGCTTGACTTTGTGTAACACACCCACTCTCAGATCAATAGCATGTGTGTGTGTGTGTAACTTTAAGTGCCAGAATAAAATTGGGTCAGCAGTGTGAGAGGAGAGGGAGAGAAGGCAGTGTGGGGAGACACTGACTGAGAAAGGGGGAGACGCAAAGAGAAATGAAGGGAAACCCCCTGTAGCTCCTTGAACTCCAGAAACAAGTGGTCACTTGAGTTATCACTGGTGATTCAGAGACATGTAAGTGTCAGTTGCTCAGGCATGGTTGCTTCGGTTGCTGCTGTTGCTGTTGCTGCTGCTGCTGCTGCTTATTTGTCTTTTGGATGGAGGTTTTTGATCAAAGGCTGCAATACGTTTGTTGCTACAAATGTGTCAGCGTGCTGCACAGTGAGCTGCTGGGTCCTGGCTCAAGAGTCGGGTTTCCCTCTGCATGCGCAAATCAAAAAAAGAACAGACTGAAGTTTGATTCTTTCAACTAGAGAGCGATTTTCCAAAATAGTTCTAAACTGGGCTGGTTGGAGTGCTGACCCTCCCTGGTGCTCAGCCCTATGATGAGGTGTGGTACTCACTTTTATAGCTCTGTTCTGATCACAGAGAGGCTGACAAATATCTGCTACATGTGCTTCCTTCAACAAACTCCTGAGAAAGAGTTTGTCATATTTGGACTCTTTAATTCAGTCCATATTTCCAACATTGTCTTTCTGTTTGAGAACAGTAGCCAACCTCTGTTGTGTTTCTGATCCCTGAATTGAATCAAGTCCAACTCTGGTGACTCTTGGTTCTGACAGACCCTGGCAGCAGCCAGAGCTAAAGGGAAAGATGACCTTTCTATGCTGTTTATTTTGGGACGGCAACAGGGAGAATGTTGGAGCAGCTGTTCTATTCCTCCTGGCAGATCCCACCCCTGTGAATTCCAGTCTGCAACTGCAGAGACTCTCCATTACACCCTCCCCTCAACTCCCCCTCTCGTGCTTTACAGTGTAAATAACACCTCATCAGGATCATCTGGGTTGTTATGGCAATAAGCTGTAGTCAAACACACACAGTTCTAGCTTAAGGCTGTCAGTCATTTCCTGGTACATACACAAGATTCCCAGACAGGAAGAACAGCTCTGCTGATGTCGTGGTTGTCGGCAGTTATTCAGTTCGATTCAGTCCAAGAAGATGATTTCAGAATGACTTAGGTTTTTAGAAGAGTCTGTGGAAAATAAGACATTTTCTTACTTGGTTTATAATGTCTGTAAACATGTTTATTAATTACTACTATCATGGTGAAAGGTTTGGGTGACTGTAGGACTTATGATTCAGTGAACAAAGCAGTACTGACTACTTAGAGACAGATTCATCTTCACAAATGAACTTCTTTATTTCAAAAGCCATGGAATTGTTTTTTATTTATTGTGGTGAAAAAAGAACAGAAAAAGAAACACGTTTTAAGTTATTTGTTATGATTTCTGTCTGAATTATGTTTGAGTGCATTGCGTCAGATCCTCACATGGCTGCTGTCCTGCCTCTTCCGTACCATGTCTAGTTATTGCCTGCGTGTGGTTAGTGTCATCTTAACTGCATATTTTACTGTGTTGTATTGTAAATATTGTAGTTATGTCATGCCCTGTGAGCGCTGCCACTCTGAGCAGGTCTCTGTTATAAAATACTTCCTGGTAGAATTAAAGGGAAGTGAAAATGAAAATGAAAAGTCTGCAGCGTCTACATGTTACAAAGCGCAGACGTCCAACCTGTTCCATGGTAATCAGTGTCACCTGGCTGGCAGTCAAAACTGTCTTTACACTTGTCATGCATCTTAACCAGTCTTGCAACTCTCTCTTGAATCACACAAACAGCTATCTCATGCTTTCCGAGACAGAAACTGTCCCAAAAATGGCGAGCCTCCCCAAGGAACCCCCGGAGGATCCCAAGAAAGAGAGCTTCTGGATGGTGAGGATTTAATACGAGATGAAAATCTCCAGAAACACTGCAGTTGAGAAACCAGCCGAACGGCTTGTCATGCTGACATTTCTCCGCCTCTCTTCCCAGCCAGGAAAGTATGTTAATACAGTGCACAGAACTGAGCATTCCTACCAGGCCTGCAACGACCTCATGGCCTGCTTCGTGGAGAGAGCAAAGGTAGAAAAACAGTACGCTCAGCAGCTCAGCCAGTGGAGCAGCAAGTGGAAGTCTATAGTGGATTCTCGTAAGTAAGAGAAACCGCATGATTGAGCCACAGTTGCCTCGGGTTAGAAAACAAGCATACCCAGACCTTTTAGATCATCTCAAAGAGCCGCCTTTGAGTTCTAATGACCTCCTTAGTCACAGTGGAGTGGTGCATGTGTGCCTGTTTGAACATTTCCAGTGGACAAACAGAGGTCATTATTTCCTGATTGTTTCCATGACTCACCTTGCTCTCTCCCTCCCTCTGTGCTCTTTGATTCTAATCCATGTCTGTCTTCTTTGCACATCCCCAGGGCCACTTTATGGCTCCCTGATGAGGGCGTGGCAGTGTTTCTTCACCTCCACGGAGCGTTTGTCCGAACTCCACTCCTCCATCTCCCAGTCACTGGTAACAGATGAAGGGCAGCGGGTGAAGACCTGGCAGAAGAAGACCTTTCCAAGGAAAATCTTCTGTGGGTTCAAGGAGAGCTACGACAACAACACAAGCTTTTCACGAGCCCAAAAACCCTGGTCTAAAAAGCTGACAAAGGTTCACACTATAATCTGTCTACCTACTTTATCTGCACACCCCAAAGATAACTATAGCAATACAATTAAAGTCCATAAAATATGACAATACTGACACTTGATGAATGAATGGAGCTGAATTTATCTGTACACTCTACCAAAGTAGCATTACAGCTGACACACACACAGATAGGAAACAAGTGACTCACCTAATATGAAAATCTCTCACATACCACTAGAGGATGCTGAAGTACCGCCAATGGTACACATCCCATAGTTTGAGAACCATGGCTCTAGTGGTTTGATTGAGAACATTTCTCCACAGATTCTTTCATTTGGGTGAATTACATTAAAATTAATTCACAAAATTAAAAAAACAAATTGCCAGGTTACCTTAGTAATAACGCTACTCTGTACTGTAGTACCACTGCAGGCATATTTTGTACTTTTCATTTCTTTATCCAACACTAATCTTAACCTAATCCAACATAATCTTATCTTAATCCTATTTTATCCCATTTTAAAACCAGTGAAAGTAAATAAAACGTCACGGGAAATGAACAGAACTAGTGCTTGTCGCTAAAACTGTCAATGCAACGACTAAAATAAATATGTAAACATGAACAGTAACTAATAAGAAAGACACAATATAAAACCAGGGATCAACTGTACTAAAATATTAGGTAAATAGATATAACTGTTGTTTATGATGACAACAGGCAGAGCTAACTGTCAGGAATGTGGAGCTAAAATTAAACAAACCAATCAAATTTCAGATGAATGTGACATTAGTCATTAATCTTTACATCATGGCTGTAATAGCCTACCCGTCGCGTCAATGCTGTGATCTCCTGTAAGGCCTCGACCCATTATTAGGGAAACATTTAACAAGCTGACAAACGGTTGATCTTTGAATAGAATCTGTCTAGAAATTTCCACCTCTGTTCGCTGAGGTCTCACATTTTCCACACAGGAGTGGTGTTGATCTCCTCATCTAACTTTCCACAAGGAAGCAACACAACATATTTCTCCAAATACCAGACGCTTCCCCTGAATTTAATATGTGCTGTTTGTGCAACTGTGTTTTCCACAGCTGGAGTCGGCCAGAGTTGCATACCACAAGTGTTGTCAGAAGGAGCAGGCGGCAATGGACAAAGAAAAACAAGCAAATGAAAACTCTGAGATGAGTCCAGAGAAGAAGCAGAAGATCATGGAGGCCAGGGAGAGAGCAACAGAGGAGAAAGAAAAGGTGACGGCAGATGTTTACACTCTCCACTGTCCTGCTCCAGCACAGGAGGGTTGGGGGCGATCAATTCACAGCTCATTTAGATTCACAAGTCCTGATTCACCACATGCCACAGATACAAATATGTAGCATTCCAGGAAAGCATTCCCGCCCTGCTCCATGCAGTGATGTTTTCTCAGTGATGGGACGATTGACTCCAAACACCAGCTCGGCCTTAACTTTGCCTTTCAGGCATTTTCCTTGTATGGAGATGTGTTTTTGTTACTGGGCTCAGTGTTTATGGAGCCCGGCTTGGGAATAGAAGAGAGAACAGCAGTGATTTATATATTTTAGATCCCTGTCCCCTGCAGGAACACAGTTGATGTTGTTGCTGAGAGAGGCGATATGGCAAATGCTCCTCGTTAAAAATATTCTTTTGGGCCTTCCTGCAGACCAGAGAGCGCTACGAGAAGATGCTGGAGGACGTGAGCTCCTACACTCCTCGCTACATGGAGGAGATGGAGGCCATCTTTGAGCAGTCGCAGGAGGAGGAGAAGAAGAGGATCAGCTTTCTGAGGGAAGTCTTCCTCTCCATCCACAGTCATCTGGACATCACCAACAATGAGAGGTGACCAGACACAGGAGGGTGTGTTTTAGTTTGGGAGGCTGTCTGTGGTTCGCGCTTTGTTTATTACCGTCTATTCCTGTGTGTCTGTGTGTTAGTGTGAAGGCCGTCTACAGTGAACTCCACGACACCCTGATGGCCATCAATGACCAGGATGATCTCAAGTGGTGGAAAAACAACCACGGTCCAGGGATGCCCACTGACTGGCCCAAGATTCAGGTTGTGCATGTCATAATCAGAGGAATAATGACAATAACTCATAACATCTGTGAACTATGACCTGCCATATAGGTGTGTAACAGTACAGAAACATGGTTGTTTTAAATGGCACTAAAGAAAACTGAGTTATTGTGTCAGTGTGATTAAAATTAGACCTTAAAAAACAAATTATGTGTTAGCGAAGTGCTACTTTTACTATGTACCAGTACTAAGGTCATTTTTCACATGGTGAAATGATGCGATTTAAATATGACCAGCTTTGGTTAAAGTCTGGGAAGGATGTGGTTCAAACCCACTTTTGTGCTTTTCAGGAATGGCTGCCACCAGTGAAAAAGCTGAACAGAAAGAAAAGAGACCAGAAGAGAAAAGAGAGCAGACCGTGAGTAACCGCACAGCTGCTTTATTTATTTATTTTTATTTTTTTTATATTATCATTTACATTGAGGTGAAAATTAAGGATCATTTCAGGATGCAGGTCTGCAGCCTAATTACTGACGTACCTGTGTATCTTCCCTGTTAGTGTAATGATCGGTGGTGTAAAGGTACGAGCGCTTTATGACTATGTCGGGGAGGAGACTGATGAGCTGTCCTTTAAATCAGGTGAAGTGGGGTGACATTCACATTATAGGTGCTTTGGATTAACTCATGTTTGGATTAACTCATGTTTGGATTAATTCATGTTAATATATATATTAACTCATACTGTATGTAGAGAGAGAGAGATACAAATGGGGGGGCGGGCATTCCATTTCTCCATTTGCTTCCCACATCTTAAAAACATCACCAAACTCAGGCTTATTGCAGCCAGGCCTCAGCTGGAGATAGTTACACATGCAGTTATTTTATTCCATCCTAATAAGTCCAATACTGGGGCAGTGGTGGTCTGGTGGTTAAGGAGGTCGGACCCTGTCGCTGTAACAATGTACTGACTGTTATCAATTTATCTGCAGTGTTCTCCGACAAGGGCTTGTTCATAGGAAACTTTCATCTGCGTACATTATTTGCTAGGTCTGCAGAAACTTCCGACAGCCCCTGATCGTAATCACTGATCCATATATTCCTGTATAATAGAGTCAAATAATAAAAATATGAGAATGTTCCACTAACTACATATCTTTGACCAATGACAACTGACCCCAACAAAAATAGGTCCATCTTGAGTTTTGTTGTCATTGCGTGAACTGACCCTGTTAGTGTAGAATAATTAATAACAGATCCATTTGGTCGTGTTTTGTGATGTTTATTTCTATTACAAGTTAAGACTTGAGTCTTAACTTGATTATTATTATTCTGTGGTATTTTTAGGTGAAGTGTTCCTGAAGGTGGAGGAGGAGGACGACCAGGGTTGGTGTCGAGGAGTACTCAGCACCGGGAAGGAAGGCTTCTACCCGGCCAATTATGTTGAAGTTGCAGAGTAATGTCACACTGCTCTCTTTTGTTTTTAAATCTTCTGTTGAAAAGATAACAATCACCATTTGACGTCAGAGATGTTTGTGAAGCCACGTGACGTCAGACAATAGTAATCTGTTCCCTAAAACGTTTTAACCTGTTTACTTTAAGTAAAAATAACTTATCAAAGACTAGAGTGTGCTGTTTGTGGAAGAGGTGTGTGTGAGTGGGTGTCTGCATGAACAAAACCAATGACAGATATTAATTCACTATCCACATGCCACAGTAATAAATCTGACACAGGTTTACAGACAGGTATGTGCACAAGGTTAATGTGTACCTGAGCTACAGTACAGTATGTGTTATGTACAGATTACAACATACACAGGTTACAATACTTTTATTTGTTTTTCCCATAAGTGATTTATTTTTATCTCTGCTGTGATGATGGGAAATATATAATTGCAGCAGTGTATAAATGTCTGGGAACTGTTCTCTAATCAAAACCCACAAATGGATAAACACACAACTCACAATGTTTTCTATTTTTTAAAAAGTCGGCAAAAAACAAAGTAATAAAATAGGTTAGTGTTATATAAGATGTAGCGAAAGTCGCTTAAAGATAGCAAAAGGTTAAAGTGTAAGAAAAATTTTAAAAAATAACTAGAATTTAAGACTTTTTTTCTTCCATGTAATTCAGCAAAAAGTCTAAAATAACTGCAAAACAAGATTAAAAAATAGCTTGGAGTAGAATAAGAAAATGGCAAATAATTGGCTGAAAAAGGATATTAGATTTTACCAAACCTCACTGCAGGAATATTAGCCAGTCAGGAAATAGCTACATCATTATTATAACTATAACCATTATTGAAGTTTATATTGATCGTGTAATTTATAAATGTGTGAACAATCCAGGGCTTTAAATAATAAAACAGAGCATTGTTGTCCTTGAAATGCTGTGTTGTTAGAATCCTGCAGTACAAAGGAATATATAATGACTTCTATCCCATAATACCACAATAAAGAAACAAAAACAATCTTAATCCTAGCATTATAATAATACTGTCACAGTCATGGAGTGTTCTTATTTTCTTCAGACAAATCCTATCCTTGACCTTTGACCTCGTTGGCTTCTTTCCCTCTCATTTACTGCTATAAATGTTTAACCAGAAACAGTGTCATTGGTAATAAAGCTGTGAGTGGAGGCTCAACCCCATGTCCACACACTAAAAATACCTGAAGGTAGTCTGACAAGAAAAAAAACAAATCTGGAATCCAGTTGGGCAAGATCCTCAGGAGCAAATAATGAGTGACAAGGTGTCAGCAGTGCAGTAGCTGAAGTGTTTCACTGTACCACGAGCTCCTGAAGAACTCTACACATGTAAGTACACCTTATTCACATTCAGTACTATATCATATTGTTCATGTCATACACTGCAAGTTTCCACACTGAAATGTTGCTGTAATGTTTCATTAAGTGATTTATTTCCCCCACACAGGCTGCGTCACCATGGAATTTGCTTGTGGGTTTATTTATGTTCCTCCTGTGACACGGAATGACGGCCAACGACCCGGTGTCACTAAACGCTCAGGTGGGACTGCTTTCTCCAGGAATTAAAGAAAAAAAAAAGTACCTGTTACATTATTGTATGATGTTAATGTTTTTGTTTTTGTTAGGTTAGTCGGCTTGATTAGGCAAGGTTTCTCAATTTATTTCAAACATGTATTGTCATATTCTAGTGTCCATCATGGACTGAATGATGTTTTTACAGTATATGTCTCCACACACAGACTACAATATACTGTTATATATTTATATAAATACATCACATGTCCAGTACACCAGGAGTACACCAGGTTTTGTTGTTGTGTTGTGTCATCAGCTGTGATGGCTGAAGTCCACGTTGTACCAGAATACGTCAAACAATTGCAGAAAATTTACTTGTTTTTCTCTCTAGTTTGAAAATGGAAAACAAATCTACTACATTTAAAAAACAAACAAATATATAAAAGTCATATAATTGATTTAAGAAGTCCATAATGTGTTCCATAGTGGGGAAATTCACAGATTTAGCCTGTACACGTGCATGAACTTTTTAAATTTTTGTCTGTTTTGTAGAAAATTGTCACTAATTACCTGCCACTCTGTGTCAGAAAGAGTGAAAATGTTTAATATAGAAAAATATCCAATAGTCAATAACTGTCTAAAGTAAACCATAAGTAGTTAATCAGGAAAATAGTAAGTTTTGACCATGCCGTTAAAACATTATTTCATGTTGTTCTCATTTGAATCTTTCAGCTCTGCTTCCTCCTGTCAACCGAGTCCGTCCTCGCATGCCTCCTCCTCCTCCTCCTCCGACAAACGACCCTAAAAACTCAAAGATCTTCACATCCACAACCAAGATCCAGGAGCAGGTGGAAAAAAGCCAGGAGGTGAAAAAGCTGGTGAAGCCTGAGAGCATTTATGAAAATGAAGAATTCTACAGACAAACAGAGGCGGCCACTGCAACTGGTCAACAGCAGACGTTTCCACGAAAGACAGGTAGTGTGAGTGTGGAGGGAGAAAAGAAGGTGTGGAATTGTAGACAATGTGTTCAGTCCCTGAAATTCAAGGAGACAAAAAAGCAGATGATGTTGATGAAAAAGCAATTCAGCACCAAATTCACTCTAGTCGCTGGAACATAAAAGAAAGAAGTAGCCATTGTTCCTAGGAATTGAATTTCATGCAGTTATTTAAAGTAATCCAAACAATATCATGGATCTGGAGGGTTTAGCTCACATGCTCCAGTGGTAGAGAGAGGTTTGATCTGGGAGAGATGTTCCCAAGGACACCTGTGGTATTTCCAATAAGAAGCTGTCACTCTCTCCTGTTTGGCCACTTCTTTAAATGATTTGCTTCAGATTTTATTGCATCTTTTAACCTGTAATCACAGCTGTGATTTACACATGGGTGGCAGTGCTGAGAACGACTCTATTAAAGCAACATGTTTCATCTGTGGTGCCTTCACCAGCACCAGTATTAGACCACCGTGTTGGTCTGATGAAGTTGTTCTCTCTATGACGAGTCCTCCTGGACCAGAGTTCCTCTGACTGTCATCCTGCTCTCTGTAGGATGAATAAAGAACTATTACATAAACAAACAGGACAGGAAGTGAACCGCTGCACTTGCACTCCTGTGCATGTTTATTTATAACTTTTATTCATATTTGCCTTTCAATCTACCCAAGATCATCTCAATAGACCACGCACAGTAAAACAAGCAACAACAAAAGGCAAATACCAGCATAATACCCAGGACTGTGGGAACAGAGTTAAGAAAACAAGTTTATAAGCCATAAAATGGTACTAAAGACGCAGATTTAGAGTGATTTACGCTAAAACATCTGCTGCCACTTGCACCAGATGCCTTCAGAGCTGTGTAATGAACTTCTCTTTCCTAATGGGGTGCAGTAAAAGGTCACTTTGCCACAAAAATGACAACCACGCCCATGGAGCTGAACAGAACCCAAACAATATGTTTGTCGTTACGGAGACACTGAAGATGAACACGTAGAAGTGAAGCTGCTCTCCTCATCTCCCTCAGCTCTTCTTCCTCCGCACATGAGGCCCGCAGCTAACAGCCGTGGATCTCCGTCGCACGATCAACCAATCAACAGTCAGGTTTTCACCCATGACTTGCCCCAGGGTGAGACAGATCTAATGCCTGAGTACGTGATGGTGTTACCCTCCCGCCTACCTGATTCGTCCTCTCAGAAATCACCTTCAGTTGCCTCAGTGTCACCGTCAACTACCAGTAAAGGTAAATAAAACTGCTCTCAGAGACCAGTGTGACAGAACGGAGCACATTTTTAATGTTCACCTGTTCCCACCTCAGAGTCATCAGCAAAGGATCCTCTTCCAGGGAATCCTAATGTGGTCTTAATCAGTTTAGGAAAACTACTCTCAGAAGAAAAAGGTCAGTAAAAATGTTTCCATCACCTCATCACCGCCTTTCTGTATTTTTATTTCCAGTCAAATTAAGTCAAAATGATAATGACAATGACCTTTGTTCTTTTCCAGAGCAGGCCTTACGACATAAACCCACCCTCTGTCCTCACTGTGGCTCTGTGCTGGACTCCTGTTATTACAATGTGGTGAGTGTCCAGGAGCAGTTGAAGGATTTGCAGTCGGGAGGCTTTATAAAAGATTTTATCCAGGATCTGTGACAGTCGCAACCAAACACTGGGTCAGGACTCAAAAAGTCAGGGTCATTATTTGGATCACCAAATAATTTTTTTAACATGGTGGAAAGTTACTTGAATATGGCTGGATATGTCTTTAATAATTTCTTAATATTACAGTATTTAACAAATATTATATGGTTAGTGTTTCCCACATTTTTTAGTTGCCCCACTAGGAGTGTCTAAGAAGATTAAGCCCTTGAATAAAAGTTGTTGCAAAGCTTACTTTTTTTTAACACCATTGCATCTTAATTTAATTAAACATTTAATGTTTCCTCTGATTTAATAAAATGTTCATTGTGAAGATCAACGTGGCTAAAGGCACAACAAAGATAAGACTTTAACATGTCAACATGTTGGAGTCTTTAAATGTCTTCTTCATTATAATAACACAGTTTTGAAAATATAGCATGTGTCTTAGAACGTTTTGATTCATTACACATGCAAACTAACATTTCCAAAAATCACTTCACAACAGTGAGAGGTTCTATTCAAGAAACCGCCTGGGCAACTCCTGAAACGTAGACAGAACTCTGGTGGAGGCAGTGGACACTCTACTCCCTGTACTCAGTGTGCCTGGAACAATTGACTGAGGGACTTAATTGGTATTGATGTGATGCCTTGAGAGCAGCACGTCATGCTGGTTGGGACTGAGTCTGTGGTCACTAGCACAGTTTTTCTCAGTTGCAGTCATGTTCTCACCACATGCTGGTTTGCAGGAGAATCAGTGTCACTTCTGTCAGTTCTGGGAATGGTCCAATCTTCCACACCTACCTCCCAGCCTCCTCTTCTCTCTAAACCCGGATGAGCCTCCCTGTGCTGCCGACCCCCTGCTGCTGTTCTGCATCGACATCTCTGGCTCCATGAGCATCACGTCCCAGGTGGAATACAACTCACACTCCCAAAACACATTCCTACTGATATATACTACACATATACATATAGTATATATATATGTGTGTGTGTGTGTGTGTGTGTGTATGTATGTAAATATAATATATATACATATATACAGTATATGCATTGAAATGTCTGAAATCTGTTACTGTTTTTAGGTGACAGTAAAAAACCATGTGACTTACGAATCTCGACTGGAGGTGAGTTCGTCTCTGTTGTTTTCCACTTTTTTAAGACAGTTCATTCAATGCCAACATCACACAGAGTGATAGCAGCAGCAGCGGCAGCAGCAGCAGCAGCAGCAGGCGCGGCAGGG